GAGCACCTGCCCAAGCTGAGGCACCTGAACGTCGCCCGGCGATTTGTGTTTCAAGACGGGGGCTCGGGTTGAGATTCGGCAGTCGATTGTGTCTTGTTCTGGCCCTGCAGCTTTTGCTCCCGGCGAATCAGGTGTCAGCAAACCATATACCTCAAACCCTACGGCGATTCCTCTGAGGGGCGCATGCACTACTGCAAGTGCCCAGGTGATCAAAAACAAGCTGTCCACGTGCATCGGCAGCAAGAGAGTGGTTTTGGCGAAGGTTCGGCTCCCCCGTCTTTTTGCACAGGTCCTACTCAAACTTGATATGTGATGGGGGTGAGGGGGTCTAGGCAGTCTTGGCGCTCCTTCAAAGCACCGAGCCTGAACTTGAACTGTTACCCTAAGGGTCCATGTACCTAAATAGGGAATACTTGGGCCTCAAGGTGCCTCCTATTTAGGGACTTTAGGGCCCAGGTACATAATAATGAGGTACATGGACCCTCAGGGTTAGAGAAGAAGGTCTCCTGCTTCTGAGGGACTCAGAGAATCATGTCTGGTGCTTGAAAGACTTGAAGCGGTGTGTTTTGCAGACCGAAGCCCCTAACGAATGCGTCTTCGTCTTGCATCTACCCCAGACACTGTCAGGCCCCCAAAAAGCCAGACATCCCAAACTGACCCTAAACCCTGTATAAACCCTAAACCCTAAACCCTGCACCCTCGGCCTAGGCCTAAAAATTCTCAAGCACGAGTTTGGTTGGCTGACAGGTTAGTCCAAGTGAAGCCCGCGGTTTCACCAACAATTGCCCAAACCCCGCACCGGGCTCCCAGCCTGGGCCTAGACCCTAAACCCTAAACCCTCGAACCTAGACCCTAGACCCTAGACCCTAGCCCTGATCTTTGGGCCACCGAGGCTGCCAAGTCTAGAGTACAACACCCAGCGGCTTGGAGGTTCAACTATATCCCCCTTGGGAATTATTTTTTACTTTTGTTTTTTTACCCAAAAGGATATTGCAAACATTGTTTTTATTAAGGTTCTAAGGGGGGTATAGTAAAGTTGTGGTAGAATGGTTGAAGAGCTTCTGGGGCAACGAACTTTGCACAAAGGGTCGTGGCTGGAGGGTTTAGGGTTTTAGGGGTTTAGGGTTTAATGTTTAGGGTTTAGGGTTTTAGGGTTTAGAGTCTTCGACTCTTAGACAAGCTCCAGGGTTGAGGGCGTTGAGCGCTCGGAATTGGTGTTGGGGTTTCACGAACGTGCTCGGGGGGGACGACTTTTGTGGCTCAGGCTTCGGGTGTACCTTGGGGATCACAAAAACCCTGAAAGGGTACCCTAAACCCCAAACCCTGAACCCTGAACCCTAAACCCTAAACCCCAGCTATGCGGGTACCCATAAACCCTAAACCCTAAACCCTAAACCCTAAACCCTAAACCCTAAACCCTAAACCCTAAACCCTAAACCCTAAACCCTAAACCCTAAACCCTAACCCTAGACCCTAAACCGCCTGCATTGGGATGGATGTTAGGGTTGGTCCCCCCAAGGTGATTTCAGGGTCCAGGGCCATTCTGGGTCTTCGCTGTTTCTCTTGAACTAGGTTTAGGGTTTAGGGTTTAGGGGTTTAGGGGTTTGGGGGTTGGGGTTTGAGGTCGGGGGCTTTTCTTTGTAATTGGCGCTTTTGGGAACATACACAGGTTTAGGGTTTAGGATTTAGGGTTTAGGGTTAGGGTTTGCGGTTTGGGGTTCAGGGTCTGGGGTTTAGGGTCTGGGGTTCAGGGTTTGGGGTTTGGGGTGTAAGTCCCAATCCCCCGCCCCTCTCCTTGTTACGAGGGCTCTGTCAGGCAGGGGCGCAGACCTCACTTTTCGAACTTCTACACCCTAAGCTTTAAAAATTGCACATAAAGCCTGCGGCCCCTATTACTCTAGGCGTGCAGCCTAATCCCTAGAACCCCCACGCATGCAAACCCTAAACCCTAAACCCTGAACCCAGGCTCCACTCGCTTGAGTGCGCTAAGAATGCATTGACCTACGTGCCTTCGCTGGAGAAAGCGAGGCATCTGGAAGTGCTGAACGCGCTCCTCGCTTCTGAATTTGGGGAAAGGTTGTGTTGAGGGTCCCTAAACCCTAAACCCTAAACCCAAAACCACACTCGGAGCCTTTCATGCTTGCAGGCTGCTGCCTCAGCAACCTCGGTGCACATGCTGTCCACAAGGGACAGGGACCCTAGTACTCGGACAACCCTCTGAATCTAAGGGTAGTTCACATGGTCCCCCTAAACCCTAAACCCTAAACCCTAAACCCTAAACCCTAAACCCTAAACCCTAAACCCTAAACCCTAAACCCTAAACCCTAAACCCTAAACCCTAAACCCTAAACCCTAAACCCTAAACCCTAAACCATTCATAGGCCCTTACCCTCTTTAATGGGTTCTGATGCATGGGCCCTTAATCAGTTTAGGGTAGACAAAGGGGCTTGTAAGGGGCCCCCTTCTTTTAAGGGCCCATACGAAGGGGCCATGTATCATGGGTTCTCCTACTACTCCTCTCGATACTACTTTTTCCTGGGTTCCCCCCACAATTAAGGCCATTTAGGGATAATCAAGCCCAATTGAGGTCATTTAAGGGGGCAACCAAGGGGGGTTTAGGGTTTAGGGTTTAGGGTTTAGGGTTTAGGGTTGTAATAGAGGAACCCTAAAGAGGAATGGGAACAAGCTGACGGAGCTGCCCCAGTTTAGCGATGCCGCTCGTCTTGGCTTGATCTCGGGGACTAGTTCTGAACCCTAACAGGGTATATGGGTCATATTTCCATAAACGGACTTAGAGTACTAGAAAAGGGTATATGACCCCCTGAAAAGGGTTTATGGCTCATATGCCTCAATCGGAATTTCTAATGGCAAAAGGCTCTAAACAGGGTTAATGGTACATATTACTTTAATAAGACTTGTAGTGTAGTAGTAGTAGTAGTAGTAGTAGTAGTAGTAGTAGTAGTAGTAGTAGTAGTAGTAGTAGTAGTAGTAGTAGTAGTAGTAGTAGTAGTAGTAGTAGTAGTAGGAGTAGTAGTAGGAGTAGTAGGAGTAGTAGTAGGAGTAGTAGGAGTAGTAGTAGTAGTAGTAGGAGTAGTAGTAAGCAGGCACCACTTGGGAATTATAATCGTATAGGGTATGTGACCCCAATTTGGGTTCGTTTGTTCCCCAGGGCAATCCCAGCGATTCTATTCGGCCACCCTCAGCCCGAAGCTCTAAACTCTACGTGCACTGGTGACCAAGTTGGGTTTAGGGTTCAGGGTTTAGAGTTGAGGGTCCAGTTGCACAAGGGTTCAGGGTTCAGGGTTTAGGTGTCAAAGTGGGGTGGTGGCTTGCTGGCTACTCCCAACTTGGTGCACATGTCGGGTCAAATTCGTTGCCGACATCCCTACACTGGTGTTCGTCCAGCTATGCACGAGCGGAAGAACCCTAAACCCGCGCGCACACACACGCACGGTGTTCAGTGTGGCTTAGCAGAGGGTCTGTGACTCAGGGTTGCACAAATTGGGGGGGGGGGGGGAAATCCATGAATGTCTGCAGGTGTAGGGTTATTCAGGTTTTTGGGGTTAGGGGCTAAGGGTTTAAAGGTTCAAGGTCTAAGCTGGTGGTAGAGTTTAGGGTTCGGGCCTGCTCAGGTCGCACCACTCTGCTGCCTTAGCGTCGGTTGGAACGAGCCTTGGCCACTGCAGTGAGCAGTCTGATGGACTCTCTCCCACAGGGCCTCCAAATACCCCATAGTAGGCATTGACTCGTTTGTAGACTCTGAGACCCCCCAAATTCGCAGACCTTCGCCCCTGAACTCTAAATCCTCAATCTTGGTAGCCGTTTTGGCTAACACAGGGCGCTTGCACCGGGCAATCGCAGCGTGTGTAGTGCCCTCCCCGTTTTAACTGAAGCGCTTCGCAGACTCATGTCCGGCCGTGCTGGTGTGTGCATGTCCTTCACTGTTGTGCTGTTCGTGTTGCAGCTGTCGTCCGCTGCAAAGCTATCGGCCAATGTCAACGGCCAATTGCGGCCACATGCCCATCGACAGTTCCATGACAGGCCTCTACACACAACAGTGACTTAGTAGTAGAGTAGATAACCTTTAACCTTTTTTGGGGTAGTACAATTCCCAATATCATATAATCTGCAAGGTTAACCCTTAGTTTTCTAGGCTACTGATCAAGGTGAGCGCCGTCCACCTCTCCAAAAAGGTCAGCATCGGTGCGGACACTGAGGATGCAGACGGCATGGGCGGCATGGTGAATGAGTTTGCGGAGAAGGGCGAACCTTGGGGACGAAATGAACCCTAAAATTGGGGGTCATATACCCTACACTACTATATAATTCCCATTAAGGTAATATGAACCCTAAACCCTTTTGAAATTCATAGTTCGTCCCCAAGGAAGTGAACAAGGCTGAGTCCCAGTCAGCCAAAGCCACGCAGCAAGAAGTCCAGAAGCAGGTGCAGCAGGAGTTTGTGATGCCTTCCAGGGAATATAGCTTCTTGGCAGCCCAGTGGTGGCCTCTACTCTTTTGGTTGCGGTTATGGGTTTTCCCTCCAAAGTAACCAAACCCAAACAGGGGTGCCCTTCTTGTAATCTGGTTACTCGGCTACCCTAAACCCTAAAACCCCAAACCCCAAACCCTAAACACTAAACCCTAAAACCCTAAGACCCTAAGACCCTAAGACCCTACACCCTATACCCTAACACCCAAAAACCCGAAAACATCCTAAACCCTAACCCTAGAACCCTAAAACCCTAAACCCTACACCCTAAAACCCTAAAACCTAAAACCCTAAAACCCTAAAACCTAAGCCGTAAGCCCTAAATCCTAAATCCTAAACCCTAACCCTAAACCCTAAACCCCAAGGCATCCAGTTGGACAACCACTTGAATGTTCAGTACAGCGGCCGCTTCACGATCGGCGAGCAGGAGCTCCCAGTGATCTATGACACTAGGCTGTTCGGTAGTGTGTATATGTATGTATGTATATATATATATATATATTATTGACTTACTATTACCTCTTCGTTTCCCACTATTATTATTCTTATTAGTAGTATTATTATTATGTGTATATATATATATATGTATGTCTTTATTTAATTATATACTTATTTATTTTGTTGTTTATGTTCATTTTTGTTTAGTTGTTTATGTTTTTTTTCGGGTTCTGGGTTCCCTATGTTAGGTAAGTAGCCCAAAAAGTATGTACTTTTTCTCCCTGTTGCACTGAAAGCCTAAGGACACCGGATCTTTCGAGGTGCTCGTCCTGTCGACCAAGTGCAACACATGCGTCAAGACACTTTCCATGTATCTTCGGGATTCTTGGGAACTCTTTTAACAACAACCCCTAAACCCTAAACCCTAAACCCAAAACCCAAATTTGGGGTACTGAAATTCCGAAGGGGCAGCTAAATGTTGGGATCATTTTGGGCACTGTAGTTCCCAAGGCACAGCCATACTTTTCATTTTTTCGCTAGGGCTGCAAGCTCAGTATAGGTATGACTACAAGAAGTCGCGCTCTTTTCGCGACAGCCCCAACCATGTAGTTGCCGAGCATGAGTTTGTCAGTGGAGATGTGGTCACCGCGGAGGGCTTCGAAACTCTTCGCTTGGGGAGACAAGACTCTCCGGCTACTAGGTGGACCTTTGGGATATTTTTCGATCTTCCCTTGTTTGGGTTTAAGAGGATGCTATCTAGGAATATGGAGGGTCTGAAAGCTCCCAAGGTCACCACCTCGGACATGACCTTCTGGATGGTGCAGAGCCACGAGCTGAAATTCTGGAAAACCGGGCATGCCATTTTCTCCGGAATCGTTGGCCTCTCTCACGTGAAGAGGCTCCCGGATGGCTTCAGCGGCGATGCCCGTGACTTGGTAGCCCAGTGGTACCCTTTGCCCTCGTTTTTGGGGTCCGAGGCTTCCTTCTAAAGTACCGAAAACCCCCAACAAAGGGTACCCTTGTCATAATAAAATTGCTGGGCTGCCTTAAGCAAGTTCGAACCCGAAACCCTGAATCCTGAGAGCGACTAAGCACTTAACCCTAACCCCTGAACCCTAAACCCCTACACTCTAGCCCTAAACCCTACTTCCCTACACCCTAGCCCTAAACCCTAAACCCCTAAACCCATTTGTGCCTACTGGGCTAAACCTTCTAAGGAGAAGACAAGTCTCTTCTCGAGGAGATGCACCTGGATGCCTTCGCTCTTTGCTACCAGCGAGGCGGCACCTCAAGCCCGGGCTGGCTACTTGGTGAGGTTTAGGGTAGGGTTTAGGGTTTAGGGTTTAGGGTGTAGGGTGTAGGGTGTAGGGTGTAGGGTGTAGGGTTTAGGGTTTAGGGTTTAGGGTTTAGGGTTTAAGGTGTAGGGTGTAGGGTGTAGGGTTTAGGGTTTAGGGTTTAGGGTTTATTAGGGTTTAGGGTTTATTAGGGTTTAGGGTCCCTATAAATACACTTAAAAGCAAGAACAATTCTACAATTATTATGGCCCCTCTGGTAGCTGAAGTGGTGCCCTTTTTTGCGTTTTTGTTGGTTCAAGGTTTGGTTCCCGTATACCGAAGTACCCACCCCCGAACAAAAGGGTACCCATATGATAATATGGCTCCCGTGGGCTGTTCATTTCCCTAAACCCTAAGCCCCAAACCCTAAACCCCAAACCCCAAACCCTAAACCCTAAACCCCAAACCCTAAACCCTAAACCGTAAACCTACAGGGTTGAGCCCCCCGATCTAGCAAGGCTGAAGATCGGGCCATCCATCAGTGCCATGGCTCACAGCCCCAATTTCCAGTCGGTGGACGTCTCAGGGGACAGCCACTGGGCAACGAAGCTTTCCCAGTTCAAGGTGGACTTAGACGGAATCTCGGTTGGCTTTGGGATCTTTTATCATTTTCCTTTTTTGGGGTTTCCCTAAACCCTAAACCCGAAATCCGAAACCCTAAGCCCTAAAGGGGTCCTATATATAAGTATTGTTTGAAACTCTTTAGAGGCCAACCCAGGAATTGACACTTCCAGCCTTTGCAAGCCGTCATGCGGGGCCCTCATCGATTCCGGCACATCCCTGCTGACCTTTCCACGCTCCTTTGTCATAGTTGGGTAACATTTTTTATTTTTCAGGGTACTTAAACCCAAGAAGGAATAAGAAAAACATAATTTTTGATAAAATATTTTCCCAATAATGAACTAGGTTCCGCGAGCCACATCACCGAAGCTTTGAAGCAGAAGGTAAAGAGTGACCTGGTAGCCCAGTGGTACCCGTTTTGTTGCATCTTTTATGTGGGTTCAAGGTTCCCATATATACAGTTAGCAGGGTGCCCTTATCATCACCTGGTTACAACTTTAAACCCTAAACCTTAAACCCTAGACCCTAAACCCTAAACCCTAAACCTTCCAGGTGACTGTAGCAACTTGGACGAGCTGCCAACCTTGTATTTTGAGCTGGATGGGGCCGAGGTTGTCTTGCCACCCCGGGCATACATCTTTAAGGTTGTGGACAACAACGGCCACCCATATTGCAGAGGGGCCTTCATGAAGGTGGACAAGGAGTCCCAGTTTGGAGAGGTCTTCATCTTGGGTATGCCTTTCTTGCGGTACTACTTCACAGTCTTTGATCGCCAGAACAAGAAAGTGCACATTGCCAGGTCCACGGAAGACTGCCAGGTAGCCCCGCACATGTCTCTGCTCGCAACGAACTCGAGCGCCTCAGGGCGCGCCGGACGGCACGGGTTTGCCTCTGCCGACTTCCTGCAGGCCACTGAGGCCGATCTCAACGATGTGATCTCGCCACCTTGGACAAGCACTGCTGAGAAGTTCATTCGCCTCTGAAGAGTACAGGCAGCCAAATCCACCGGCAACTGACAAAAAGTCTTTGGGTGCATACTTGGCGTCCTAGGGTTCAGTGTTCCAAGCTCTCTTAGGGTGGTTACATGGTCCTTCGTGTAGGCCCTTAAAAGGGGACCCTTACATAATTACCCTTGATATACCCTATACAGCCCACGACCCTATACATCAGAACCCTCTAAAGGAGGTAAGGGACCATAGTAAGGGCCCATGTAACTTCCCTTAGAAGCTCAAAAAAGTGTCCAGCTGCGTGCGATCAGGAGCTCCGAAAACTGGACTTCTTGGAGCCTCCCTTCACGTCGATACGCTTGCTTCTGTGCTGCGCTTGCTGTGCCCAAGCAAATTTTCTCCCACATCGAGCTTGGGCTGCTGGTATAAGGAGCTTGTAGAAGCAGGTACCGGAATAAGGAAGCCCTGTATGATACCTATATGACTACGATGCTTCCGTGCTTTTGTGCAGCTGCAGAAGAAGTTCCTGGACAGCGGCTCCGTAGGGAGATGGGGTTTAGGGTTTAGGGTTTTAGGGTTTTAGGGTTGGTCGCTCAAGCAGTTGACTGTATGGGACTGAATGTTTAACTTCGGTGTCCTGGTTTATTTATGGCGCGGCTCAGTTTAGATGGCTTGAGCTAAGCCAGTTCCCTCCACCAAAACTCACCACCCTAAGCCATGAAGCTACCCTCAAATCATCACACACTTCACTCCTAGACCCAGAACCCTGGAAGATTCAGCGTTGAGCGCCTTTATCTTGGGCCGAACCCCCCAAAGCCTATGAGATCAGGAGCCTAAACCCTATATCGGGGCCTGCAGTCCCAACCCTAAACCCTAAACCCTAAACCCTAAACCCTAAACCCTAAACCCTAAACCCTAAACCCTAAACCCTAAACCCTAAACCCTAAACCCTAAACCCTAAACCTCAAGATCCCGCGGATTCCAGGCTCGATGCCCGCCGCAATCACCTGCAGCAGGTGGTAGGCTGGAGCCTTAGGGTTTAGGGTTTAGGGTTTAGGGTTTAGGGTTTAGGGCCTTTGGGGTTTCCTTAGTCGCTGAGCGAGCACACTCTACACTTTTTGGGATACTATAAGCCCCTCTAGAACTGAAAAGTTGACACTTTGTTGGGGGCTTATGAACTCAGCAACTAAGAAAAGAACCGACATGAGGAGCTGAGGTTACACGTCAGGGTTCTGGAATTTAGGTATTTGGGGTTCGTCTTCGGGAGCAAGAGGCTATGAGATTCTAAGAAGGGCTGGCTCCAAAGCTCGTTGCAACAGGGGTTAGAGGCTGAAGTGCCGGGATTTGCCCTAACCCCTAACCCCTAACCCCTAAACCCTAAACCCTAAAGAACTATCCATGTACCATCACCTGATGGCCTGCAGAGGCCTGGAGAGAACGTCTATGGTTCGGATGCAGCTTGACCAGCCGCTCTGCTTTTGCTACTGATGATTTGGGGACCTAAACCCCAAACCCCAAACCCCAAACCCCAAACCCCAAACCCCAAACCCCAAACCCCAAACCCCAAACCCCAAACCCCAAACCCCAAACCCCAAACCCCAAACCCCAAACCCTTGCCCCCGTCCAGGAATGAACTCAGCGACCTGCCGCCGGTGCTGCCAAAATCCTTGCGCCATTTCGCCGTTAGCCTCTTGGGATGCGTTGGGGCCTCAAACGGGTTAAGGGTTTAGGGTTAGGCTTTAGGGTTTAGGGTTTAGGGTTTAGGGTTTAGGGTTTAGGGTTTAGGTTCATAAGCAATTTTTAGGCTTGTATGCTATCAGAGCTTTGCGGTTTATGAGGGAAGGATGTTCGCATCAGAAGAAACCCCCTGAACAATTTCGAAGATGCTGGTGGTGACAGTCCCTTCATAGTTCAGAACCCTGAGCCTGCTGCTTTTGGGGGGGCTCGAGTCTACAGGCCCTACGTACCGTAAATAGGGTACGTAGGATACGAACCCTATCCTTCCACGGACCTAAAACCCTAAACCCTAAACCTCAGGGTTCTAGAGCCCCTAAGGACCCCATATTTGGGTTCCTGGAAGGGTCGGGCCTGAAGGGTTTGGGTAGAAACCCTAAACCCGAAACCCTAAACCCTAAACCCTAAACCCTACTCCCCCCAAGGCAAGAACCGCTTGACCCAACTGCCGAATCTGGACTTTCTGCCGCACCTCGAGTATCTGAACGCGCTTGACCTGCACTTCCCCAGTCTCTAACTTGGGGGGGCTTTCAAGCCCTAAACCCTAAACCCTAAACCCTAAACCCCGTACCTTAGTTGAGGTCCTTATGATTTTGGCAAACCCCGTTGTGATTAATGCCAGTGGTCTGCACTATCATCATGTGCATGATTAGTTCAGGCTCGGGTTCCACTGATTTTACATAAAGGGTGCGAAGTGTCGGGGCAACCACGAGTTCCAGACTAAGCGGTGGCACGCCCGGACTCGGACAGATAGTTGGGGGTTAATGCGCAATCTTGGCACTCAGAACCCTGGGTTTAGGGTCTTTAGGGTTATAGGGTTAAACCCTACAAACTCTGAACTCCTCAAGCATCCTAAGCCGCCGCTAGAGCTGAGTTGAGTAAGCCGGTTTGTCCATTCATTTGGTTTGGGGCGGACAGGGTGGAGGCTGGTTGCCCTAGGGTTTAGGGTTTAGAGTTTAGGGTTTAGGGTCAAAAGGGTTTAGGGTTTAGGGTCAAAAGGGTGTAGGGTTTAGCGTTTAGGGTCAAAAAGGGTGTAGGGTTTAGGGTCAGAAGGTTTTTTTTGGTGGCAGCTGGTCGCATGTGTGCCAGAGGCAGCCCAGAACAAGCTGGAGAGCCTGGATGGCATTGACAAGCTGGAGGCGCTGGCTGGTGGCTCTCTTGGTTGAGGGATAGACACAAGGGTTTAGGGTTTAGGGTTTAGGGCTAGACACAGGGGTTCCGGGAGGGTTTAGGGTCCAGGGCTAGGGTTGGGAGGAAGGCTTCTGCTTGAGGATGGATTCCACTTGGGAGGCATCCTGGGGAAACTTCGGAACCTGGGAGTATGAGGGAGCATCGGGCTACCTGTCTCCCGCCGAGACTTGGCCTCGTCTGCTTCTTTCCCTGGTGCCTTGCATCACTTGCAAGCCCTGAGATAGAAATGTCCCCTAGAACCTCAGGGTTTAGGGTTTAGGGTTTAGGGTTTAGGGTTCAGGGTCAACCTCGAGTCCGAACTCTGCATACCCTGAGCCCTGTAGCTGCATAGTTCCTTGTCTCAATGTGCTACAAACAGGGAATGGTGCCAAGATCAACCACGCGACGGCCTCAAGTTTACTCAAAGCCATTGAGCTCCCACTCTTCCTTAATTTTGAGGAGCCGAGTGGGCGGCTGGCTCCACACTCCTCCCTCGTCTTACATGTCCTGGGATTTGTTGCCTTAAGCCGAAGCCTGAAACCCCTGAACCGTTATCCTAAAATCCTAATCCCTGAACCCTAAACCCTAAACCCGTGAACCCTAAACCCTAAATGGGCGGCGCTAGACGGATGTCAAAGCAACCTAAACCCTTACACACAGAGCCTTTTGAGCTGACGGTTAAACCCTCACCCTAAACCCTAGACCCTAAACGGGGGGAAGGGGGACCTTTCTTATTCATTATGGGGTTATGTAGTGGTGGGTTTGTCCGCTGATGTGAGGCTACAACTTCCCCAAAGTGATCCCCCTTTCTACGCTAACTTTAGAAGCGCCCATCTTTCCGATGAGAAGCGGCATTGCCGGCATTAGTCCCTGCAATGTGGCCTGAGGGTCAGCTAGGCGGGTGGCAAAAAAACCCTAAACCAAAAAACCCTAAACCCTAAACCCTACTAAACCCTAAACCCTAAACCCTAAACCCTAAACCGGAGGAGTTGGTGGAGTGCCGGCTGGAGCACAACAATCTCAGGACTTTTCCCAGCTTGGAGTCGAGCGCGCGACCTGCCTTGGATTTAGGGTTTAGGGGTTTAGGGTTTAGGGTTTAGGGGTTTGGGGTTTAGGGTTTAGGGTTTAGGGGTTTAGGGGTTTAGGGGTTTAGGGTTTAGGGTTTAGGGTTTAGGGTGTTTGGGGGCTAGGGGTTTAGGGTAGGGCTAAAAGGGCCTGACGCCAGGAGCCAGAGGAGCCGTCTAAGTCCCTGTAAACCAAAAAAGGGCACCTTAGGGGCTTCTAGGTCTCACAGGACGGGAATTGTCTAGAGGGGCTCATGAGGTTCAGGGTAGCCCGAAAGTCGAAGCTGCCTTGTTTCGGGTTCAGGGTTTCGGGGTCCTAAACCCTACACCCTAAACCCTAAACCCTAAACCCTAAACCCTAAACCGTGCTGGTCCCCTTGCGTGTTCGGGGTCTAAGCCTTGAGAAGCCTGGATTTGGAGCTTTCTGATTATCCGGCCTCGTTCAGCCCCGCCATACCTTTGGCACTTTTGCCCCCCCATAAGCCCCAAAACCCCGACGAGCCTTCCCTGCAATGTGGTGTGAAGCTCCTAGTCAAAAGCGCCTAGAACGTGCCCACCACCCGAACCTTGAACCGTTGTAAGTGGAAGGTTAGAGATCCTTGACTTGGGCTTCAACTTGCTGACAGCACCCTGGCACACAGCTTCCGAAGGGTGGCTGTAGGGGGGGTGGCACGATTTATGTCGCTGTTGCTTGTTGAGCCAGTAGGAATAGATTCGACAAGCCAGGGGGTTGAAAACAAAAACACCCAAGACACCAAAGCACCATGTAAACAACCCTGAGTCTTTGGGTCCCAAAACAGATGGAAGACCTTCAATAATGGGGTCTTGGGCCCCTAGGGCTAGAGTTGAGAGCGTTTGCACGATGTCGCGGCCATCGCCCTGGCACTTGAATCAAAGTGGCGAGCCGCCTGCAGCAGACTGCTCCAAACTTCGGCTGTGTCCCTATGCCCTTACGCCCCAAAACCCCCCCCCCCCCAAAAAAAAAAAAAAAAACAATCTTCAGCAGCTACTACTAAAGCCACAAGCCCGATTGCCCTTGAGGCTCCATGGTGCATTTTCACAGGTTGTACATGAAGCATTCGCTTGCTACAAACCTTGGGGACGAAATGAACCCTAAAATTGGGGGTCATGTACCCTGACTACTATAATTCCTATTAACGTATATGAACCATAAACCCTCTTAGGGTTCATGTCGTCCCCAAGGAAAGGCCATATCCCCCGGGCGCGCGATAGGCTGGCATGTCAGAGTCCTTCACGCTGCAGTCCAACACTTTTGAAAAGGAGATAGAAGCGCTCCGGCTGCCCTCGCTGGTTGAGCTCATTGTGCCCGGGCCACTTGGTTTAAGGTCAGGGCTTTGGTTTGGAAGGTTTCGGCTTTCTAAGCACTAGCAGTGTTGTAGAGTTTCACAAAGAGCCTTTACAGTGTGGCGTCGTTCATCGAGGCTTCAGTCCTCCGGGCTCGAATCTTTAAAGCAAACCGTGCAATTATGCTTGCGTGTCTGATGCTTCTTCGAATCCCCCCCGCCAAGCTTCTCGATGAAGAGAATGTTGCCGATGACCGGCCCTCTAAGCCAGAAGCCCACTTGCCAAGCCGGACAGCAGCAGCAGCAGCTCAGGTTGGCAAGGGTTTAGGGTTTAGGGTTTAGGGTTTAGGGTTAGGGTTTAGGGTTTAGGGAAGTCCTTACGGCAGGCAAGCACGAGCAGTAAAAGGAGTCAAAACCGACTACATGAACAGTTGATAGACTGACACATGCGCCTCCCCCGTACGTAGCATCTCTTGCAAACTACGGATGCCATGAATAGATGGGTCGGAATAATAATTACTACATATTCCCTTATGGTCCCTTTATAAGAATATGATTATAACAGCCCCCCCAAATTTCCATTCTAATCATTAAGGCCCCTATAGAAACCTACTATTCCATTATGGTCCCTTGAGAATGGTACTATTCTCACAGCCCCAAAAATGAGTTCTAATCAGTATCAAGGCCCCTATACATTACCCCTAAACCCTAAACCCTAAACCCTAAACCCTAAACCCCCATGCAGCGCTCCGGGCCATCCCTTCGGCGGCTCCTCCTGGCAACTCCCGGAGACTTAGGGATACCTGGGGGAAAAATTGTGTTTAGGGTTTAGGGTTTAGGGTTTAGGGTTTAGGGTTTAGGGTTTAGGGTTTAGGGTTTTGGGCACTCTAACTCCTAAGAAGCAGCTATAAGATTCTACTTTTTGCCAGGGTTCCTTTCTAGGAAACCCCGCCTTTCTGGCGGGATGGCGGCGGACTTGGGCCAGAGGCGGTGGGCAAAGATCTTCTGCACCCGCAACAGGACCAGCCTTCCGGTGTCTCGGGGACGACATATGAACCCTTAAAGGGTTTAAGGGGGTTTAGGGGGGTTAGGGGGTTTAGGGGGCTTAGGGGGTTTAGGGGGCGCAGGGGGTGTAGGGGGTTTAGGAGGTTTAGGGGGTTTAGGGGGTTTAGGGGGTTTATGGTCCATACACCTTAATAGGAATTATGGTAGTCAGGGTTTCTGACCCCATTTTACGGCTCATCTCGTCCCCAAAGGTGGAGAAGTGAGGCCGGCTGGCGCCGAGCGTTGCAGATGCTTCAGGAGCTCCAGGCTGATGGGTACGATGCTAGCCGCATGGACTGGAGCTGGTGGACAGAGAACATCCAAAGTTCCAATTCCAAAATCGATGTGACCTGCCAAAAATGCGGGCATCGCTCTCGCGGCACGAAGTTGCAGAGCCTGCAAAGTGGCCAGTCACCTGGATGCTTTTGCAACGGACGCGTGCGCTGGTCCAGCCGGGAGGGGCATGCCCGCTGTCTGGCGTTGCTGAGGGATCGCTTTGGCGAGAGGTACGATGCCAGCCGCATGGACTGGAGCTGGTGGCAAAAGAACATCAAGAATCAGCGTTCCAAAATCGACGTGACCTGCCAAGAATGCGGGCATCCCTCTCGGACCACATGGTTGACGAGCCTGCAAATTGGCCAGCCGCCTGGATGCCTTTGCAACGGTGGCGTGCGCTGGTCCAGCCGGGAAGGGCGTGCCCGCTGTCTGGAGTTGCTGAAGGATCGCTTTGGCGAGAGGTACGATGCCAGCCGCATGGACTGGAGCTGGTGGCAAGAGAACACCGATGGTCAGCGTTCCAAGATAGATGTGACCTGCCAGGAATGCAGGCATCGCTCTCGCGGCACGATGTTGATGAGCCTGCAACGTGGCTATTCGCCCAGATGCCTTTGTGCCAGAAGACGGAAGGCAAGCTGATGCAGTGGTTGCTTGAGCCTGCCCAAGGGCACCATTCTCATGGACCCGACGGACAGATTGGCCACGTCGGCCGTGGTTGGGGAGGTGCTGTGGATGACCCAGGGTGCCGCAAAGAGACCTTCAAAGAGCAAGGGGCACTGCGGCAGGGCAAAAACGTCATCCGATTGCTGCAGGAAGAGGGTTTAGGGTTTAGGGACTTAGGGTGACAAGGGGCTTGCGGCCAAGGATTCGATGTTGACTTGGTAAGCCGTTTCCACCGAATTCCTAGGTGGAAGGGTTGGCCATCGCAGACAGTTTGTAGAGACTTGCCAAAAAGTTTAACCAGAACTTTTTTGAACCTGGTGAAGGACAACATCAACTCTCGTTGAGACCATCCAGTCCGAAAAGCACGTCAACACAAGAACCCCTAAACCCCTAAACCCCTAAAACCCAAAACCCCTAAGCCCCTAAACCCCCTAAACCCCTAAACCCCTAAACCCCTAAACCCTAAATCAAGTTCGACAAACTAAAACACGAAGCGTGAGCCCAGCCAGACCTCCCCTTGCACATTTGTCGGCCTCAGCTCTGTTAACAGAGGGGTGTCGGAATAACAAACTCGGGTTTAGGGTTTAGGGTTCACATGATTCCCTTCTGGTCCCGTTTATGTTTATACCACAGTATATTCATAGAGGGGTCGGAGTAAATACTAGTCTGATTCCCTTATGGTCCCTCCATAGTTATACTGGAATGACGCCCTCCAAAATCCTATTCACATTATATAGGCCCCATATGAGGACCGACTTTGTCATAGTTGGGTAACATTTTACAGTTTGAATGGTACTTAAACCCGAAAAGGAATATACATTTAGATTTGTTTATACTATCCCAACCCCCATGAACTAGAGGAGGGTTTCGGAGGCTGGAGGGTGTTCTGGTGAGATGAGACGTGTGGGATCGGCACTGAGGGCGCTTCGCTGCAGAGTCAGGTTGAAGCTTCCCTAAGAAAGGGCGACCCTTCCGGGCATGAAGTTTAGGGTTTTGCTGTGGGTTTAGGGTTTTAGGGTTTAGGGTTTAGGGTTTTCTTGCAGTGGTTGTGGCCATATGCCTTTGCCACAGAGAGCCCCGCCCACTGACAGTGCTCTCGTAACATCTTAAAGTACGGTTCTAGTTTTTTGGCCTGCTTCCCGGCTATAGGAACAAACTTCGTCACCTCCCTGATCTCAGCTGCTCGGCACTGCAGTATTTCGTGCACAAGGGCGCGTGCATGAACCAAGCGGTTTCGTTCCACAGCTCGGAATCCCACCTAGACCTCCAATTCGAATACTGTAGTTCATTTTCAACCTTCTTCAAGGTTCAAAAAAGCAGCTTGAGGGATTCAAGCGCCCTAAACGTCGAACGAATTACTATGCGCCGGTCTAGGCGCGCTACAAAACCCCCAGCCCGACATTGCTCAACCCTGTGAGCGTTCAAAGCCTTAACACACGACAACCCTAAAAACCCTAAACCCTAGAACCCTAAGACCGCAAAACCCTACAACCCTAAACCCTAAACGCCCTGAACCCTAAACCCTAAACCCTAAACCCTAAACCCTAAACCCTAAACCCTAAACCCTAAACCCTAAACCCTAAACCCTAAACCCTAAACCCTAAACCCTAAACCCTAAACCCTATACCCGAAACCCTAAACCCTAAACCCTAAACCCTAAACCCTAAACCCTAAACCCTAAACCCTAAACCCTAAACCCTAAACCCTAAACCCTAAACCCTACCCCTACCCCCGTTGATCCCAAGGCCAGCTTCGACACCTCAAGCGCCTCGATGCCGCGATCAACGACCTCGAGGAGCCGACTTGGTTTAGGGTTCAGGGTTGTTTAGGGTTTAGGGTTTAGGGTTTAGGGCTTAGGGTTTAGGGTTTGGGGTTTAGGGTTTAGGGTTTAGGGATTTTTTTTCCTCTCGGAGAGCTTCGCAGGTCCCAGATGTATCTGATACACACATTGTGGATCTGTTTACGCGGGCGTATAGACTCTTGCGTTTCTATATCGTGTGTACGTATGCACGTGTTTGGTTTATGAGTATCTCAAACCCTGAGCTCCGACTCCGAACTCTATACCCTAAACCCTAAACCCTAAACCCTAAACCCTAAACCTGCTTGCGGGTCCAAGCTCTCGGGCTCTAGGGCGCGTTTCGGCTAGGGTTCCGGGGTTCTTGCCGACTTCGCTACTTTTGGGTTTAGGGTTTAGGGTTTAGGGTTTAGGGTTTAGGGTTTAGGGTTCCGGGGCTACTTGCGGGTCTTGTGGGGTTTCTTAGTTTCCTTGGCCTCTGCTTTAAGTTGGGATTTTCCCCCTTATAGTTATACTAGCAGTCCTTAGCAGGGATTTTGTTCAGGGGGTCTGAAGGACTGTTCGTAGAAGTATAAGAGGGAACATCCCAAGCGTTAAGTTTCTTGAAGTTCTCAAAGTGGAAGATTTGATCTCCTTGAGTCTCTTGGTTACGGTCTCAGCTCCGCAGGAGCTACCCTCCTTGTCTCGCAACACCCTCCTGATTGAGCTAGACGTGCTCCGGCCTGGTTCAGATGCCATGCCGCACCGGATTCATTTAGGGTTTAGGGTTTAGGGTTTAGGGTTAGGGTAATTGCAGCATTTAGTTCTGAGCCAACACCATGGTGAGGGGCTGCGTTCCGCAAATTCTGCTGCTGTCCCAAGTTGTTTCGTGCCAACATTGGCATGGCTTGGGCTGGGGTAGAAATTGAGGGTTTAGGGTTTAGGGTTTGTTTGCTTCCAACCGTTGCTGTTACAGAAGCTCGCACGAAATACGCCCGATCCCACTCAAGTGCCAGCAGATGATCTCTCTCCAGAGAGGCCTCTCCAGCACTCAGCAAAATGCAACGTGAGTTGGCTGGGCGGGAGGCAAAACAACCAAATTTCACAACCCCTAACATTTAATTAACCCTAAACCCCTTAACCCCCTAAACCCCTAAATAATCCCTAAATATAATGCCCACCCCCCCCCCCCCTCTCAAATGCAGTAAGCCTGTGCACGAGGTCAGCGACAATGACCTGCAAGAGCTGCCAGCGCTCTCCGGGCAGCCTGGCTGCAGGGAGCGAGGGTTTAGGGTTTAGGGTTTAGGAATTAGGGTTTAGGGTTTAGGGTTTGGGAGAGAGAGAGAGAGAGAGGGTTTAGGGTTTAGGGTTTTGGGGGGGGTTAGGGTTTAAAGGGTTTCGCAATTCAGCACGAAGTGGGGGCTGGCACACCGAGTATGCGGCTTCGGGTTCATTGCAAAGGGTTTTGGGGCTCTACATCCTGGAGAGGACAGTTCTCGATACTGGCTCCGCCCCCAGTTCGTGCGTAACCCTAAACCCCAAACCCGACGTCCCCTCGGGCTCCATGCTGTGTGGAGGTGCCTCCGCAAACTCGATTATCCCAGCCGCTCCCACCCTCATGTTCTGAGTGGGTAGCAGCAATGTGTCTGTGTGTGTGTGAAGCTCTTGGTATCTTGTTTTGTGGGCTGTGAATTGCAGCCACAGGCGGCTGCAAGCGTGTCTAGTGAGTGTAGACTCGGACCCTGGAGCGGCATCGTCCTCGCCTGGCATGTCCGAGTCGTGAGAGAACCCGAACCCGCCTGTGGGCCTAAAGGGGGTTTACCACAGTTGCTTCAGCAAGAGCTGTTTGGATGTTGGACATGTTTTGTGGGTTTAGGGCTTGTTGTTTTTGGTAGTTCCAGGTTTGTCAGGGTTTAGAACTTGGGTGGCCCCTAAACGACAACGAAATGATTGTATTCGATGCACCAAAACAAGGGGCCCTGAGTAAATGCCCTTCCCCCCCCCCCCCCCCCCCCCCCCCCCCCCCCCCCCCCCCCCTCCCTCCCCCCCCACCAAACAAAAAACTAAAGACCCTAAGCCCTAAACCCTAAACCCTAAACCCCAAACCCCTCGAAAAAAAAACAAAAACAATAAAAAACAATTAAAAAAGAAGCCCCCCGTTGTGTTTGAGTCTCAAGGCTCCACCAGTTGGACCGCTTCTACGCCCTTCAAACCGCATCCGATCGCTGCCTCCCCTGGAAAGCTCGGTGGATCCCTGGCAAAGTTTGAGGGTTGGGGTTGAGGGTTTAGGGTTGAGGGTTGGGGGGTTTCAGGGGCTTTTGGGTCTTTGTTTTTTTTTTGTTTAGGGTTTTGGCCTGAGGGTCTTAGGGTCTTAGGTCATAAGATCTTTGGATTCGGGTCTTATATCTTAGGGTCGAGGGGTCGAGGGCTTTGCGGGTTTTAGGGGTTGAGGGTCTTAGGATTAGGGTGTGAGGGCTTTCGTGCTTTTAGACCTCTAGCGTTTAGGGCTTTAAGCTTGAAGGCCTCGTACAAAAGGCGCCATTCATGTGCCCCTTAAGTGGGTTTAGGCTTTAGGGTCTTCCAAGCGCTGCGTCTTCTACTCGGGGCAAATGGGCTTCAGGGCTTGGTTGTGTAAGATTCTGCACAAGGGCTTCGGGCCTTTCGAGGCTTAAAGGGCTTCGATGGGGGGAATGCCCACTTACGAATCTGGGGCTGCGGTTCGGGCAACGGGGTCCGATGGGGACGCTAATGAAGTTTCATCGTAGACGCCCTTCATAACAAAGTCGAGGGGCCCATACCCTACTTCGGAACGGTTGGGACTACTTGAACGCAACTGCAGTCTCTAAATGCCGGTAGCCCAATAAAATCCAAATTTCTTCAAAACTCAACACGATTCCTTGAATGTTATATGATCATATAAGTATTATTAATCGTATGAGTAAGAGAATTTTACCATCATGATTATGTTTACTTTACGCGCCTCAGCCCTACAAGAAGCACACATGAGCAGCAAGGTCACGAGATTTGCATCCAGGACAACCGCATTCGAGCCCCAACCACAAACATTCTCGGTTTAGGTTTTAGGGTTTAGGGTTTGGGTTTAGGGTTTTAGGGTTTAGGGTTTAGGGTTTAGGGTTTAGGGCAAAAAGGGTGGGGGGCAAGGCTGGTGGCTTTGGCCCCCAACTCGGGATGCGTCCCTCTT